GCTGAACTTTTGTCCAGAAGTTAACTGGTTTCATGACTCTTAAGGCTGAAACAGCCTCTTGTTTTGAATGAGGTGAACTTAGGTATCATGAAAGGGACTTGGCAGGTAAGGAGAGGCAGCACTTGTCAGAGTTTCCTTTCTGAAACTAAGGTTCCCCACGCTAGTACAAATGTGCAGGAGACCCCGGTTTCTGCAGGTGAAGATGCTGCCAGTAATCATGGGGGTTCTCAGCTAAATACATGTAAATGTTGGTAACAGCAATAGGTTAATCATTTGCCAAAGATACTCACAAAAAAGATGAGGCTTCCTCAAAGTTTACAGCAGCCCTTTGTTAGGGTTTCCCTTGCAAGTGCACACACACACACACACACAGAAAGAGTCACTTCAGCGAGACGGACCCAGCTCGCCTCCGTACCGGTCAGTTCAGTACTGGTCCCTCCAACGCAGAAGCAAGAGGGCAAAGCTGAGCCTTAGGGACGTCGCCAAGCGAAGCGTCGTTCGCAGTGCTCTGCTGCGGCGTTGGTACCCGCAGCACAATGCTGTCAGCTGTGAGTTACTGTGTTCCTGCAGGGGGAAAAAACCTGAATAATTGACAAATAAGTGCCACTTCCACACGTGTGACATTGCTATAGCCCCATAAAGTCCTGCAGAAGCAGGACACTTGGTTAAGGTGCACCAAAGGACCTCGGGAACTCCAATTGCCTATTACACAGCGGTATATTATACAGTTATATTTGCCCAAGAGTAACCATTAAAAAGAATTTTCCTTGTGTATGTGGTCCTTAGCTGAAGCTAACCCTGGTGCAGCTTGCTTCTGTACGGTGCTGTGTCTGAAAAGCCTGACAGCTTACTGGCACGACCGGTACGAGTAGTGTTACAGATAAACTTGGAAGAACTGTATTTTTTTTTTGAAGACTAGGCAGCTTTATGAAAACGTAGTTTCCAATGAAATTGAAATACAGTCATCTCTTTACAAAAGTTGTTTGAGGCATCAGAGCACGCTACTGAAATAAAGTCTTACAAATATGCACAGAGAAGAGCATCTTCATGTTTTCTTCTTTCCTTCCAACGCTGTGGGAGGATTAAAGACTTCCTTTAAATTCATCCAGGCTCCTTTAGAATAAATGTTTTTGTAGGCAACTTGTCTGTCACGAGGCTGCAACGTTAGCTGGTGGGAACACCCGTATCTTCTGGATTTATACCACTCGTTGGCAGTCTGGTTGGTCAAGGCCAAATAGAGATTGAAAGAGCAGTATGCGCCCAGCACGAGCGTGAGAAGAATAACAAAGCCCAGCATGAAGACGATCCTAGGAAAAGTCAAGAAAAGGTGCTGCAAAGGAAGAAAAGAGTAACTTTTAGTTTAAAAATTGGGAGCATTAAGCCACACGCCCCCACACTCACGTAACTGTGTGGCCCCAGAACTGAGATCGCAGCCCTGTCCCCTGTCCAGCCCTGGGAGCGCACGTTCCTCATTGAATCTTCGAGGAGAGGCAGAAATGCATTTCCTCACAAGCCTCACTGACACAGGGCACCGTTTTCTACACTCTGACCATTCGTGTTTCGTATCGGAGATTTGCTTCTTCGCTTTTTGTTGTTGTTTTGTGGAATTTAAAAGATCATTAATGCAGCTCATCTGAAAACAAACCGCCAAATGAAGAGGCTACAATCTGGTACAACTTCAGGTTTTGCTGACATGATACAGATTAAGCAGCTCTTTTCTGAGTTAAATTCCGATCCTGCCGAGTGCTAATGGTGCTGCTCAAACAGGAGCAAAAACGTTCCCTGACCAAGATGCCAAGGCTGCAAGAGGTGAAGCATTTACTCCTTACCACCTCACTGCCAGAAGACAGAAAAGGATGAGGGGATTGAAATGCAAATGACACAAATGCTAAAGAAACTCCGAGTCACCCTTTGCTTGTATGTGGGAGAAAATATCCAAGTATCTGAATTCTGGTGTAGTAGGGTCCTGCTCTAACATCTCCATGAAAGTATCTCAAGAATTGACAACTGTTTCCTAAACGTTGCTACAGTAGATAGTCACCGGAATGTGAAGTCTTTCTTTATGAACCAGCTCTGCTGAGTGAAAGCAGCCTGGAGACAGAAATCCAGAAAAAAAGGAGAGCAGAACGAAGTACTGTGAGAAAAATCCCATATTTTTGAAGTATTCCGCAATGACAGTTGCCTACGCTTGATTAGCTGCATGAAGCTGGTAAAAAACCTGCAGTCTGTCCACACCCTGCCTGAGAGAACAGGTGGACTTACAAGATTCCTGAAAGCAAAGACTGAGATAAACCTCTTTATGAGCTAACAACCCAGACAGCATAAACATACCTGAATGAGGAAGAGAATCTCAACAGCACGCTCTTGTCCTTGGTCATCGATGTAACTCCCACGCATCATACCTGACAGCAGCACCACGCGGATGAGAAAGGCTGCGGTGATGACTGCGATGGTTGCAGCCATGGCAGTCAGGGTGAAGAGGTAAAGGAGGAAAAACTTGGCGTTGAAGGCCCCGACGCAGTTGTTGAGCCACACACAGTGGTGATCCGAACGATGTACGCACCCGCCGCAGAAACCTGACAAGCAGGGAGAGACAAGATTGTTCAGTTACTTGGTTTTTTTAAAAATTCCAATACTAAAAACAATTACTTGTATCTCATTTCCTCTTTTATTCACCAAGACTGCAGCTCAAAGACTTCAGTTTCTCCAACAGTACTGCCTAGCAAAGTGTGCGAAAGGCAGAGATTGTAGCTGCCACCTTTATTTGAGTTGATAACAGCAAATTCTGCAAGAGAAACACAAAATCCTGAACTCAGGTCGACAGGTGCTAATCTGTCATTTAACTTCATAGAATCACAGAACAGTTTGGGTTGGAAGGGACTTTGAAGCCCATTCCAAGCCCCTACCATGGGCAAGGACACCTCCCACCAGCCCAGGCTGCTCCAAGCCCCGTCCGACCTGGCCTCGGACACTTCTAGGGAGGAGCTGCCACAGCTTCTCTGGGCAATCTCTGCCAGCGCTTCACCACCCTCACAGTGAAGAATTTCCTCCTAATGTCTAATCTGCAAAGGGCAACTGTGACCTGGGACCCCAATAAAGCAAACACCACCCTGTGTGCATCAAGCTGGGCAACAGATGTAGTGTGAACTGCAGTTATCAATGGGGAATTAATTCAGAAAAGTATTACAAGGAAGTTAAAATTCTTACTGCAATGTTTCGATCTGGCTGGCTTCTCCATGTTGCATGTAGGGCACACGATGCCTTTCTGGAATAATACACCGTCATACGCATAAATCTTAACCAACAACGCGTGGTTTGATTTGGTTACTATACCTGTGAAAGGAAGGAGAAAAAAAGCAAAAGCCATGGTGTTTGTAACATTTTTTTAGTTCCTTTTTTTTCAAACAGCTACTGCCCAGAATCAGCACGGGCTTACCAGGATTGGCCCGGGAGCAGAGAAGGAAGCAGCCCGCGTTCCCGGCCAGCAGCAGGTAGGGCAGCAGCAGGAGCAGGAGGTGGAACTGCAGCTCCCAGCAGTAACCGAACACTTCCCACGTGTATTCCCCATACACTGCAGCTTGCAAGGCTACGTGCAGGACAACAAACAAACAGCTCCTGTAACAGAAAGGAGACAGTCTATTGAATACTCAGCATCCTGATTAACAGGTCAAGTACACTCGGAGGTGAGCAGCAAAGACTTTCCAAATGCATGGAGACACCTCTTTTAGGTTTTCAGGCCAGCAAGGATTGCTTATTAATAGTGTTGCTGTGTGCTGCTCTGGAAGCAAAGAAAACCCCAGTAAAAGGCAATCTTTCACGCAAAAAAACCTGTAACAATATAAGCAGCCATCACAGGAGGTTTGCCAGGGCAAACACTAGTTCTAACCCGTCAGCAGGTGACAGCTTCCGCGAGATGCGTTCCACAACCGTTCGCCACGCGGGTTGGTTGGGGAAGCAACAACTTCCAGTGCAAACTTCCAAGTGGCAAAGGGATGCTCAGATGAACCAGGCAGTAGGAAAGCAACACTCACTCCAGTTCTCTGCGTTATACATCAGTTTGCTGGACTTTTATGATGGTTTTAAATACCTAGAGATGGGTGTTTTACTGTAGCTGCAGACAAGCTCTTCCCTACCACTCTCCCCTACACCATTTCTGTGTGCAACCCAGCAGGAACCTGCAGAGTCTCCTCTCAGCCACAGGCCTACAAGGAGATGCCCTCAAGTGCTGCACCTCACTGGCTTTCTGCATGACCTGAAAAATCTCTTGCTGGAAGGAGGTGACGCAGCCGAAGGGCGAATGTGGAGGATCGAGGTGCCTCCAACGTGCAGCGTAATCCAGCAACGACAGCTACGCCAAGCTCCCCAGACAACTGCTCTGCTGCTCACTGCACATTTGACAATACAACCACTTTCTCCTGGGCTGTGTTAACAACAGAGAATCTACGCAGGAGGCAACAAAACATCGGCACCACACATTCAGCAGCTGTGGATGTTACGATCCTGAAGTGTCTGGTGTGTTGCAGTTGCTGCCCCCAGAAGAAATGTATTTAAATTGTTCCTGAAGCAGATCCTAAAGCATTGAACTTTACAGGACACTACAAAATTCACCTTAAAGCAGCAGGCTGCACGTTGGCAGCTGCACGGCTTCCCCTTGAGCCACCTGGACGTCCAAGCTGCTGGAGTAAGACTAATGGGATTTGAGGGAGAGGATGGGGATCACTCGCTCTGTCTAAACTCAATCTGCAGCTGCCGAAGAGCTGTTGTTGTAATTGTCGTGTGGGTGCAGTCTCCCACGAGTGTGACCAACATCTGCTACACTGGAAGCAACTGAGCCACATTATCTTTATTTGTCAGTATGTGCCAATTTTTCAGGGTAACAGCTTCCTAAGGATAAGCGAGGAACAGAAAGTGACAAACCTTAAAGCAATCTGTAACCCCAGACGAGCAGCCCTAACCAAGAGAGAATATCTAAGGATAGTACTGAAAGCTCTGATGGTGGCAGAGGGTCACCAGCAGTAACCAGAAATACTGCTAAAAATAATGTCAAAAGCATAAAAAAAAGGCAATACCTTGTGTGGAAGAGCCTGTGGAGCACTCTCTGTGAGACCCTCTGGAGCTGTGTGGGCATTACAAATGACAATACCTGAATCAAAGGAAAACACTCTGTTACCTGAACTGCACATTGCTGCTGCCTTGGGGAAAGTTCAAACAAAAATACAAGTCACCGAATCCTTCAGTTATAGATCTGTAGCTGTCTCACTGGGGAGGAAGCTCATTTCTGGGGACATCTGAGCTCCCAAGATTACAGGCAGGCACGTAGCTGGGGGGTTTCAAAACGGGAGTGAGGTTCCATATTCTTGGGAGCCCAACAGGCACAAACAAATGTATCTGGGTTAATGTGTGAAAGTTATAAGGAGCTTATATCGGGTTATAGACTGGGTAACTGGTTAAGCAGGGGATAGAACTGAGCAATTTCCGAAGCACAATATGCTTCCTCAGGACATCTGACAGATGCAAGCAGAGATAAGCAAAGGGATAAAGCTCTCCTCCAGAAAAAGGAAAAAAACCCAAACCTCCACAACCCAACCAGGACCAAACTAACCCCACCAAAACTAAAAATACCCTCAGTTTCTTCATAACTGCAGCTGTGATACAGCCTGATAACTCTATTTAATTGCTGTTTCAAAATCAGCGAGACACAACGAAAAAGAAAACTGCCTGTCTTCACTCAGTGAAATCCTCAGCAAGAGTCTGTGTCTGCGGAATTGCCTGACTCTGCTGTTCAGAGGAGGATGGATCTCTATAGCAACACGCCGCTCCACCGGTGGCAGAGGAATTAGAGCAGCTGAGCCTATTTCTAGCTGACATGGGGAGAAAATATGCAGCGAGAGCTTCTTGCCTCAGATGTGAAAGACCAGAAGGCAAAAAGCATATGTGGAGTTGAGAAGATGCTAAATATTTTTCTTTTAGCTGGTACGCCTCGTATCAGCAGTTCAAGTGACAAGTCTTTTTATAAAGAGGCTGGGTACTGCAATGGGAAGCACGCAACTGATGGAAAAGCAACCTTGCAACTCAAATTTAAATGAACCGTGTGCGTGGCAGCACAGTCTAACGCTACATTCGATATCTGTTATCCCCCCCGCACAGCACAGCAGCTCCGTGCTTCAGCCATCCCTTACGCCAAAGCAAAAGGCTCTGACAGATGCGATTTGTGCTTTCAGCGATGATGACAGGAGGGGAGAATGAGAAGACCTGTACCCTGAACACAGCCAGGCAAAACAGACCGGGGGGTGAAAGCTGGCTCGCCACAGAGCCAGAACAGCTGTGAGCTGTGCCACTTCGTTATTTCATACAGCTCACAGTGAACAGCTTTAAAGGACCTTTAAAGAACTCAACAAACTTCCAGCCTTACACGCTTTGTTCATTACAGCCAGTAATGAATTTAAAGTACAGTGTCCACGAAACTATTTAGGATTATCTATATTTATTTCACATGTGCAAGTATAAATTACATTTCTCCAGAGAGTGACTTTACAGAATAGCAGTATTTTAACTGCTGATTGTTACACATGTCTCGTAGAAGCAGCTGTTAAGAAGTGTGGGGAAATAATATATTTCTCCGCACAGTGATCTGCACACCCATAATGCAAAATAAAGTATAATACTAGTAATAAAAAGCAGTCTGTTTAGACTCATGTAATCAGCATTAAATATTACCTACAATTTAAATGATAATTCCCTTATTCTTTCCCTTCCAAGAGTGCTACACTTTTTTTTTCTCCTCCTCCATTCAGACACAGCCCAACAGACAGAAAAATAAGCTAGCACCTTTTCAATTAATTCCCTGTTTTTACAATAAAATGCTCTTTTAAAGCTCTTCATTCCTCCCTCTTTCTTAGGAAACAACAGCCTCCAGCATTATTACAGACTCATACTAAAGAGCTTCCCCTAAAATGTGTGCTACTAGCTATAATTCTCAAACCTCCCTCCACCTCTTCACGTGAGCAGCAAATACCATACAAGTGCAAATACTTGGGGCCTCATTATTATTTTATTTCTCAAAGCTGACGTGTTCTGGCATCACTGAATAATGCACTTTCAGCATCACAAGAAGTTCCACCCTTACTACCGCCCTGCGGTGAGCGCGGCCAGCTGGCACACGCAGGACCAGGAGCTGCAGGACACAAATGGTTCTTTTACTACCTGCTCAGGCAGGATTTTATCAGTCGAAAGGAAGAGTATTTCTATTTCCGATCCCAGTGAGCACTTACTGGAGAGCAGCTGTCAAAACAGGGTGAAATATGAACTATGCCATCAGTTTTTACGGAGAAATACAGCAGTTGTGCTGATTTTATCGCAACGAACTGGCACAGAGCACAAGACCGGGCGCTGATCCCGCTCTGGAAGCTCAGTTCTTTACCTGGGCCGCACCACGGACGCTTCTCCCGAGGAAACTCTCCCTCCTGCCCGAGCAG